AATAGTATTAGAAAAGGCTCCTTCTAGAAATTGCTTCATATATTTTTGACCTACATGGGGTAGGGGCAACAGTTAAGTTTGTAACACCCTCCAAAAATGTACTGCCATCAGGATGAGCAATTATTAAGTAGTGATTGTAATGCTTTTTAATGCATTCAGTTTCCTTCATACCACTTATTCAAAAAATAGCCTATGTTATAATTTTTACATGCATTTAAAAAGCCACGGTTTAGCTTTCAAAAATTCTCGTCCGCTTTGTTTTTAAATGTCTATTTAACTTTGGATTATGTGTCAGTTTTGAGAGAGAAGATTATGGCCTAACCATGACTCTTGTCATTTTTCAAAAAGTGTAATTGCTGGAGAAAAATTCACCCCTGGACTTTTGCTCTGTTTTTCTTTTCCATTGTGTAGAAATTGATGAGTCTACCAGAAAATTAACCTCTTCGTGAATATAATTCCTTTGTACATAAGTGGCTAGGGCCCTTCCCATTGCTGGCTTTGTCAGAAGAACCTTCTTCCAGAATAACTTCTTTTGCTTTTTCCTGTAGGAAGACACTAGGAACAGGAATAAAAAATAAAGCAACCAGAGAGAGACTGTGAGGGACATCATGGTCCTTGGAGCAGATTAAATATCGGGCAATTAGAAAAGCATACTTGAAGCGTAGGTTTAATTGTTGTTACAAGCAGGTCCTGGATAGACCATTTTCCTTATGGTATATGGTGTACTCAGTACTTGTCGTTTTGCTCCAAGTACATATTAGCTTTTGACCTGGGCCCCTCGGTTGTAGTAGGTTTAAATGCGTCTGGCAACTTCAGCCTCGTTAAATTCTGCATTTCAGCACTACTGGTTTAAAAAAAGAGGGGGCGGTGTGCATAAGACTTTCAGTCTGGTTTACCCTGTACAGATCACTCTCAGGGTCCAAATTTCTCAGTCCCCAGTAAGATAATTTCCTTAGTGCTTAGCATTGGCTCTGCTACTGCTGTGATGGGTTTCCTTCCAATGGTGAGTACTTTCCTTACCTCACCTTGTCTGTTTTCCTGTCTGTAAAATGGAGTTAATGATACAGGCCTCCTTCATAAAGTGGCTTAAGGTCTACAGCTGGCAAATGCTTTACAAGAGCTAAGTATGATTTTGCTTTGCGTTACAATAAGGGAAGTATTATGCTTTTAAAGTAAATATTGTTAGTAATTTGGCATTCAGTATTCAGCAGCATTTTTATGTTTTGTGGTAATCGGGCGGCACAGAAACCGCCAGGTGCAGCTTACATAAAATTACGTTCCCTTTGTCATGCATTGTTTCTGGAGCCTGTCAAAATGGAATTAAGTGTTGTGACACCGAGCGGCGGCTCTTCCTCGGTCATTCTGGCTTCCATGGAAATTCTTCTTGATTTGTGAGGCCTTGCTACTACACACAGGATAATAAACCCTTAAAATGACTTGTGATTTTTGTCACGGGTTCTGGCTCCAGGACTTGCAAAGATTTTCTCAGACAATTATATTTGCTTCATACGCATCTCACGATTCCCACGTGTAATATGTAACCCTATTGGCTGACGCTGACATTAACGGTATCGTGCCTTCATTTGTAGTGCTCCACTAAGAAAATGTTCCCGTTTCTCTTGGTTTCTTTCAGCCGGGGTGCATTTATTTTTTTCTCCTGTGCAAAAACCATTCCTACTCTTTGTTTAAAATACCTGTCCTGGAGGCCAACTTGAATTTCTGCAGGCTTGTCTCAGTCTTCTGAGCGGGGGAAGGGGGCTGCTGGAACTCGAATTTTGTGGAAATGTGATCTCATGCTCGGGCTCCTCATTGTAATTGCTCCATCACATTTATTGTGTATATTCAGAGCCAGGATTCCATTCTTTCCGCACACTGACCTCAAATACTTCTTCTCAACGGCTTTTGCTTCCCTTTCCTACTGAGATTTTTAGAGCAAAATTTCATTCTGCCGATTGACTGTCAGTTGCGCTGCTGACCAACATACCAGATTTCAGTTGTACTACACACTGAAATCCAGTCGCCCACTGGAACTGCCCACCTGCATGTTTGAGATCCCTTCACTGTAGTTTTTGGTAAGGGGCCTTGTTCCTACAGCATCTTAAAACTGAAAACAAAATAAAGACTCTTGCTTCCCTGCTGCCACACTCAGCTTTGCTTGTATATATAGAGGGCCCTTCCCCAGTGCAGTCTGAACTATTTGATGATAAGCTTGTCCAGGTTCCATCAGAGGGGTCTAAAGTGTGAAAGATGTTGCCTAAACTCCAGCCAGGGTTTTGAAGCCTCTTTTTTTTAACCTCCTTGGTGATTTCTAGTTACCCAGGTAACAATGCATACCGTGCCGGTATTTGGGACCATTTCCCTTGTCCTGAAATGTTGGAGTTCAGTGGCATGTGAAAAGAACTGTAGTAAAAGTCATTGTGCTGCATTGCTGAGTAACGCGAAACATTTCTGAGCATAAATATGAAATAGCTTTGAGTAATGTAAACTAATAGTAAGCATTGAAATTTAAGTATTGTACATATTGCAGTATTTCATGAATGATCCAGTTAAAAATGAAAACCTCTGCCCATTTCTCCCATTTCCTGCAGGATCTCATGGCCAAAGTGAGAGCGATGCTTGCAGCTTCCAAAAACATCCCGACCAGTGCCTCCTGAGACCTGGTGATTTGACCATCAAGAGATTGATGTGGAAAGGAACAATCGGAAAAACTGCCTTGTCTCAAGTGTCCAACTGAGCTTAGCTCATGTGGTTGCAATTCATTCTGATCTGATCAGAACTTAAAGGAGCTAAAAACCTTTCTATACAGAACTGTCCCATTGGAACGTCACTGATTTTTTTTTTTTTTTTTTTTTTTTTTCCCCCCCCCCC